CTGATACCCAACACGCAACTAATTAACAAAACTACGCATTTTTTTTCTTTTTAGATCTACTATTCTTAAGTATTTTAATTCTACAGTTCTGGGGGCTGCTTATCTTAATGCCCCTGAGAGACACCAAAAGCCAGATTACCATCCTCTGAAAAAATGAATTTTCCGTTGCTTATGAAGTTTCTCAATATATTGATATTCCACCCTTCCAGGATGTTGTCCAGTTTTCAGACGTGTGTTTTTGATTTGCTCATAGTAATGATTCCAGTTTCCATTCTTGTCTGCTCCAAATCCAAACACATTAATCTGAAGACACAAAAATGTGGATTATTAATCACAAATGAAATTAACATAAAATAATTCTAGATTATAGACACTACAGATTTCATTAACATGCTTTAGCTCAGGGGTGTTGAACTCCAGGCCTCGAGAGCCGGTGTTCTGCAGGTTTTAGATATCACCCTGGGTCAACACACCCTAATCAAATGATTAATTCATTAACAGGCTTCTGGAGAACCCCAAGACATGTTATGGAGGTAATTTAGCCATTTAAATCAGCTGTGTTGGATTAAGGACACATCCAAAACCTGTAGGACACCGGCCCTTGAGGCCTTGAGTTCGACACCTGTGCTTTAGCTTAATGCAGTGCAGGCGATTTGCCATTCCATTTTTCTTTTTTTTCCTTTTTTAAGTATATTTTATTAAAACCAAAAATAAAAATACAGTTTGTGTAAGTTAGGATTGTCAGTACTTGTCATATATTCTACTACTAGCACCCTCACCATCCCCTGGAATTTTCTCATACCAAGAGCCTTATCAAGGCAATAGGAAAGGCCAAGAAACGAACACTTCAACATGCTAATACGGTAACAGTATAAAACTATAATAAATACACACAATTAATAATAAACAGATAAACTGAAGAAAGAGAAATAGGAAAGAAATCAAGGTTAATAGTTACCTGTTCCTGACTGATTAACTGATTGATGCATCAGTGTAAAGAGTGACTTTATCCCCCCCACTAATGTGTTCTGCATTGCTCTTAAAAAAGGTATTATTAGGGGACCAAGGACAGGGAGGCAAGTCCCTTGGTCCCCTAATTTCCTTGAAGGAAAGGACTCTAAAAGTAAAAGCCTCAAAAACTTATGTCTTTATGTATCCTCAATCATCTGTGTATGGAAATCTTGGTAAGTTAATTCTATTCATCTGGACATAGCATTTTCATTGGTAAAAATGTCCTACAGGTTTCCCAAGCCTTAACAGTACATTTGCATAATGACTGAAGATAGCATCACTCCCTAACAATCGGCTTTGAGGTCAGTTTTATGATCATTAATACACACATTTATATGCTCATAGATCAATTCTCCATGAGTACCATTCACAGACAGTTGGGGAACGGCTGCAATGTAAAATTTGGTTCTCATTTTAATGCTCCAACCTCCACACCTTTTTAATTCATTCACTTCTCATTAGTACATGGGTCATCCAGCCTAGGGCCAACTGCCAGTTCCCTATGAGGCCTTCTTCCAAATACAATCACAGATTGTCTATCTGTGATTGTCAAATCTAAATAAGGGATATTGTCCCAGCTAGTTTAATGATATTTAGGTAATTCTGCTCTAGAAATAATCAGATGGTAAAGATCCCTTGTGGTAATGCTTAAGCTGGAAATGATATCTATGCTCTCATGTACAACCAATGGGCCAATAATGAATGGTGTAGAAATGAATTATCATATCTGTTTCTTGAACCTACCTCATCACACAAGTACAAGCTGAGAACTAAAGTCAGAAAGCCAGTGGATGGATACCTCCCATGCTTTTTTAGCCAAACATAATGGACATATTTCATGAAAGCAGGGCTGAGGATCATCACCTATTAAAGATTACAATTATAGACTTCAATGACATTTTAGTAAATAATAGAATTACCTTTATTATGACATATCATATTCTGGATGTTTGAAGAATAAGTCATTCTACTCACCATATCCGTGTTAGTTTTCAAACCTGATTTAGCAGTTTCTTTTTGCCTGTTGGATATAACAATAACATGAAATAAGTCCAAGCTCAAAAATGCAACTGCATTTTAAAATATGGTGCAGTTTACCTTTGTGCTTTTGTAATGGTTTGTTTGTTTGTTTTTTTAATTCTACACTGCCAGGGAGGCACCGAGACCATGACACAACTGTGTGTGTATATATTACTCTCTGTCATGCCACATGTTTTTGTCATGGTCTGTGGCCCTATGTCTGAGGACTATTTAACCCACGCTGACGGATGCTCCCCGCCAGTCCGTTAATCACCCCTCAGGGGGTAACTAGGCTTCCCGCAAAAGCTTTGTACATATGTGTCATTTGAACTGCGCTAATTCTGCCTTCACGTGCCTAGGGTACGATCCGGTGTTTGTGTCTGCTACCTGCCTGTCCTCCTGCTTGCGAGCAGTGCATCATCTGTCCTCATCCCTGCCTCCTCGGATTCGCTTCGCACAGACACACTTCCCCCCCCTTCTGAGTCCCACTGTCCCGCTCTGATCGTAAGCCAATTACTAAAGCCCTGTCTTGTTGTGTCTCCCTATTTCCCA